GCACTGATAGGAAGCCCTTCATGGCAGAGCCTCCTGTCCTCCAAATGACGAGTGACTCCATGCTGTGTCACCAGGAGACCTGTCATGTTGCCAGAAAATCCTGGCTGAGGCAAAGACAGAGCCTGCAGGGAGGCATCAGAGGTGTTTCGGGGGCCCAGGGCCTCGTTTCTCCTCCACTCTGGGGTTTTACAGGGCAAGGAATGTACAGCAGCAGGGTCATTAAGAGATCACTGGATTTGGACCTAGAAATCCTGAACTCTAGTCTGCTTTGCCCATGCTGTGTGACCATGGATGAGTCACAGTCCCTCTCTGGTTTAATTGCCCTCATTAGTGCAATGTAAACCACAACAGGGTCTTCTCTTGTGGGGTTGGTGTCAGGATAAAGGGATGACCACCATGATATAGAAAGCACTCAAGAAACACTGATCTTCTACCTCAACAACCAAGCGTCTGTGTTCATGTGTAAACATGAGAGAAATGGGCTGGACATTTCCAAGGTTTCTGCTTCAGTGGTCCAAGCTGAGTCATTCGGAGCCAACATGGGTGCCTATCAGTCAGGCACCAGTGTTTTCCAGTTTAGAAATGAAGATGCAGTTCCCCACCCTCCTCTCCTTCCTCTGTCCTCCTCCCTCCCCTCCTCCCAGCCCCTATCAGAATGAATTGAAATCTCATCCAACAGAGAGATGCTGATTTAGATGTATTGGAGTTCAGCCCTGGCTGCAAATGGAAGACGCTTTAGATCCCCGAGGACCAGGGAAAGCATTTTGAAACCTGCTCCTCCCAGCTTCACACTGACTGCATTTCGGGGGGAGGGGGGGCGTGTCAGCCTCTGCAAGACCCTCCCCTCTGGGGCAGGCCTATCAAACTGCTTCTCTGTTGCCAGGGTTGAGGCAAGCTGTCACCAAGTAGCCTGGGAAATGGTATCTATAGATAGCAGTCCCTCCTACTTCTGGCCCCCAGCCTCTTCCTGTGCACTTGTTGGGAGCCCCAATTATCTATGAGTGGAGAAGAGGGACCCTGGCAGGTCCAGAGGAAGTGAGGAATGTGATAATAGGCCCTTCACAAGCTCAAACTTTTAGTGTTTTTCCATTATTTCCACTTATTTCTCTTCTTGTGGCAGGCTTCCTTCTTCTTGCTAGCCTTACCATTATAATTTCACGTTATGATACATAGAAGAAAGTGTACCGAGGCCAGAGCTAGAAAGGCTGGTATTTGAATGTGGAGTACCTTTGTGATCTCAGACAAGCTGCTTCACTTCTCAAGGACCCATTTATCTTCATCTGTAGCCCTGAGTTAGTTTTACGTGCTGCTCGGGGAAACAGTATGAAGAGCCTCCAACACCACGCCTGGCATAGTGAGTACTCGATCGTTGTAAGCCACGGATGCCCCTCAGCTGGTTTAGGGTGCTGCCTGCCATTCAGTCTTGCAGGGTCTATGACTATCAATGCAGGGTTTACTACTCAGAGCACTGGCTGGAGATGGAGAAGGTATAGGAGATTGACCTGATTGAGGCTGATTCCTCGTTATTGGAATTTGCTTGTATTAGAAACACACACGAAATGGAATGAGCTTGACTTTGGGATTCTGTTCTTCACCTCAAAATGAAATATTGAAAAGCAAAGGAAAGTTCACTGGCCTTTGGGATGAGGATTCATTGGGATGAATCACATTGGGATGAGGATTCACATTACTCCCCCTTTCTAGCTTCCCCACAACCACTGGCTTCTGCAGAAAAGCCGGGGAATGGATGACGAGTCTGCCCTCAAATGGTGCATTCAATGTTCGTAATTCCCTGAATCTGAGAGTTATGACAAATGAGGGGCTGAATTTCTCCATTTCTATCCCACCCACTCTGATTTCATTCTCCCACATTCTCCCCCTCCAGTATCTCCTCCGTAGCCCCTGCCTGCTCATGTGCTCTAGCTTTTCCTCCACCATCTCCAACACCAAATCCTTTTCTCCTCTCTCATCATCCATCCCCGTCTTCCACCCTTTCCCCCCGGCCTCGCACTCCCTGCACCCCCTGAACACCACCTCCTTTCTAAGTCCTCTCGCTATATCATTAATGCCTTCTTTGATACAGCCCACAGCTCATGATTATTCTGAGGTCAGGAGATGCAGGTGCCATGCAGCTCGCGAATGCGGCTCAGAGGGCCTCTGTCCCCAATCCCTCCTGCTCGACAGGGCTGGAATCCTAATTTGCCACGAGCCCCGTTGCTTATGGCAGCATCACCAGGAACTTTCATCCTTTTATTTCCCCCACTGAGGATTCTGAGAGTTCAGCCACAATGAAGCATTGATTCAAGGAGTGGGGGCTGTGGTCCCGACAAAGGGTCCCAATGATAAGACACGAGAAAGGGGGCGCTCTGCGGGGTTATAGAATGCCTTGCAGATGGGGACAGAGGAGCTCTAAATGGGGTACTGTCCTGTCACTTGGAGAGGGAGTGACAGGGGCAAGTGTGGGCCATTTGAAAGAGGCATTTTTGAAATGACGCTCTCGTCAGATGGAAGCACGCAATCAGAGCCGTGTGGAGGGCCCCTGCAGCTCACAAAAATATCAGATGACTCATACCCAATATTCAGTCAATGTTCTGGTTTGGGAGGTGGGAGCCACACAGCTCATTATCATTCCAGCCCCGTGTCCTGAAGGCTGGGCCTGCTGCTGTTCTCCAGGCTGTAATAGGATTGGTCTCAGGAGCAGAAACCGGGGAGGCTTGGAGCTGTGTGGGTGGATGGTATGGAAAACTAATACTGCGGTCATGAGGGGAGAGGGAGGCGTTTGTTTTACTTTTTGTTAATGTTAATGAAAACTATGAAGAAAAATATTAATATTCTTTGTGCATTCATTCAGCAGACATTTATAGAGGCAGGTTCTGGGCTAGATACTTTGGGAAAGAGGGACCTCTCCTCTCAAACCGAAGAGCCTGAAGGGGAAACTGACAAGAAAACAAGGGGTTTCAATACAACATTTGGGATGTTGTGAAGGAGGCCTTATTCCCAGAGGTGTGGATGGTTCTGTGGATTTAAAAGGCCCAGGGTTTCAAGTAGGCACTAATTATTCCACCATTTTCTCTCAGCTGATAAGCAACTCATTTAGAGCAATGGATGCTGGGAAACCATTTCAACAGTATCCATTTTCAAATGGATATGACAAAATGGTTTTCCTCAAACTCCAGCGAGATAGCGAAATCCCTGAAAGTGTCTCAATACCTTCAAAGGAAGAGCTTATTCTCTGGGATAAGAGTACTTTTTTATTATTACCTTTTTCATAATTGCTCTCTGCCAGACTCTTCTAAGCACTTTAAATGTATTATCTCACTGAATCCTCCCACCGGCTCCCTAAGACGGGCTGTATTATCCTCATTTTAGATATGGATACTGAGGCTTAAAGAGACAAAGCGATTTGTTCCTAGTTACAAAACAGAGCTTTGAACTCAGCTCTGCTTGGGCCGACATCCACGCTTTTCAACATTTGGCTCTATGGCTTAATTAGGCTCCTGGTGTTTGTGGTTTGGTGATTGTGGCTCATTAGTGTAAGAGAGACCCGATGGATTCTAACGCTCCCTGCCAGAGGGAGTCCAGTGCACATTGGCTGCCGTGTCCAGCTTCATAAAACGGGGATCAGAGCCACCCACACTGTTGCCATCACCATCAACATCACCATCGCACATTGTGATGGCTCTATTGTCTCTTGCTTGATAGATAATACAAAAGGCCATGTCTATGAACCAGGAGACTTCTCTACTCACTGGTGACATTGAGCCTGTTATTTCACCTCTGAACTTCCATTGCCATATTTATAAAATAGAGCTGACAATCCCTTTGCAGGAATAACAAGACCTAATTTTTATGAAACCTGGTTAACTACCAAGTTTGGGGCTAGGCCTTCACATAAAAATTTATGTAATCCTCACAACAGCTTTGTGGCAGGGATGATTAGGAAGGGTGAAGGAAACTGCCCAGCATTGCACACGGAGAAGCCAGGATCTTAAGCTATCTCTGACTGACCACAAGTCCCAAGCTATTTTTGGGGTGTTGTTGTGAGGCTCAAGTGAGAAAATGGGAGGGAATAATATATCCTGTGCAGGGTAAAATGTGCTAGACACATGTAAAGGATTATTGGTAGCATGGAAGACAGCCAAGAGATGACTTGTGCAGAAATGAGGAAAGATGAGAGGCCTCTAAGCTGACTGCCTTACATATTTTTGCCTATTCTTCTGTTGCTTCTTATCTGATGGAGAATCTATCTTCATTGGAATGTTTCAGTGGCTGGAATCTGGGTGTAGACTTTGATATCATTTATAGTGTTCAGGGACTATGGGGATAGGGCTTGGAGATACAGGTTGCAATGTATATGCCACTGAATTGAGAGTTTGGAGCTCTGGAAAAATGGGGGAAATAACTTTATTCTTACATGTTTTGAAAAACCACTGTGAAGATCATGTAAGATCCTCACTATGAAAGCACTACCTGTTTTCTATAGTATTATAAGATATAATTTGTTTTTGTTGAAGTTGTTAGATATTATATAACCTCATGGGAGGAATCTGTGAAGGGGGTTGAAACATCTGATGTGAGTTAAAATAAATAACCCCTAAGGATTTTTCTGTTGCTGATTTTTACGTTGTTCTTAACTGGAAGGGGCATTTGAATTTACACACCTTAATTTCCTGAATCAAACTTCCTCTTTGGGACTGTCGTGTAATGGAATCATGCCGCAAGAAGGACCTCCAAAGAACATTCCCTTCAACCCCTTCACTTTGCAGATGGGGACATTGTACGCTTGAAGGGTAAAGTACAATGTCATTCAGCTGGTTGGTGGCATTGGGAGGAACTACCATGTAGTTCTTACAGTTTATATTCAGTGCCCTTCCTATCCTAACTGCTCTGCCCAGCCCTTTCACTCTGTGGGCCCTCCAATTTGCATTATCAGTTGGATAACCACAACTCACTGCCCCATCCATGGTGGTAATGCTCTCCATTTTCCCTCTATCCCCCAGGACAATTCAGCAGTGGCTTGCAAGGGTCCAGTCGCTTCTCTACTGCAACGAGAATGGGTTTTGGGGAACCTTCCTGGAGAGCCAGAGGAGCTGCGTGTGCCACGGGAGCACCACGCTGTGCCAGCGCCCCATACCCTGTATCATCGGCGGGAACAACAGCTGCGCCATGTGCAGCCTGGCCAACATCTCCCTCTGCGGCTCCTGCAACAAGGGCTACAAGCTGTACCGAGGCCGCTGCGAGCCCCAGAACGTGGACTCGGAGCGGAGCGAGCAGTTCATCAGCTTTGAGACCGACCTGGACTTCCAGGACCTGGAGCTGAAGTACCTGCTGCAGAAGATGGACTCGCGCCTGTACGTGCACACCACCTTCATCAGCAATGAGATCCGCCTCGACACCTTCTTCGACCCCCGGTGGCGCAAGCGCATGTCCCTCACTCTCAAGAGCAACAAGAACCGCATGGACTTCATACACATGGTGATCGGCATGTCCATGCGCATCTGCCAGATGCGCAACAGCAGCCTGGACCCCATGTTCTTTGTCTATGTCAACCCCTTCAGCGGGAGCCACTCGGAGGGCTGGAACATGCCCTTCGGGGAATTTGGCTACCCTCGCTGGGAGAAGATCCGTCTCCAAAACAGCCAGTGCTACAACTGGACTCTCTTGCTGGGCAATCGGTGGAAAACGTTTTTCGAGACGGTCCACATCTACCTGCGTAGTCGGACTCGGCTACCTACTCTGCTGCGTAACGAGACTGGCCAGGGCCCCGTGGACCTGTCCGACCCCTCCAAGAGGCAGTTCTACATCAAGATCTCGGATGTGCAGGTGTTCGGGTACAGCTTGAGGTTCAACGCCGACCTCCTGCGCAGCGCGGTGCAGCAGGTCAACCAGTCCTACACACAAGGCGGCCAGTTCTATTCTTCCTCGTCCGTGATGCTCCTCTTGTTGGATATTCGGGACCGAATTAACCGCCTGGCCCCGCCTGTGGCCCCGGGGAAACCCCAGCTGGACTTGTTCTCCTGTATGCTGAAGCACCGCCTGAAACTGACCAACAGCGAGATCATCAGAGTGAACCACGCGCTGGACCTCTACAACACGGAGATCCTCAAACAGTCGGACCAGATGACAGCCAAACTCTGCTAACCTGGGACTCCTCGCCACGGACTTTCCCTTTTGTTGTACGGACACAACAGAACAAAACAAAGCAAAACAAAACACAACAACAGCAACAACAAAAAACCGTAAAAATTTGTAAAATGTAATTAATATTCAAAGAAAAGGAGAAAAATCTTCATTTGTTGGAAACTAAAACGTTCTAGCAACTGTATAAAACCGTTGGGCATGTTTGTTATTTCTATATTCTGTCATGAAGAAGGGTCTCAGCCTTTTGTGGAGCTTTGAGGGAGTCGCTTCTTAGGCCTCAGGTGCTGTGTGGAGGGGGAGAAGGGAGAAAGCATATGCAATGAATTGTAGAGATCTCTGCTGTGCAGGTGCTAAGATTAAACACTAAAATGAGAGAGAGATATATGTAATGTACAACTGACACTGCCATTTTTCCTTGTGGGAGGAAATGGACATAGATAAAGAAGATATTTCTTCGGTTAAGGTTTCTTCATTCACTCTTTATGCTTAATTCCTTGTGGTTCCTTTGACGCATTCTCACACATGGGGCAGGGATACACACACATGGCTTCTTTTACACACATGGCTTCTTTCACCCTGAATACACTAACACTAACGGAAGCTGGCCAACAGGTGGGATTGGAAGGGGATGCATTCACATAATCATAAAGACAATCAGTAATCTTGAATATCAGCTAGTCCACCCCTTATTTTGGGAAATAGATTCAGATAGGAATGGGCATGCCCATTTTTACACCCAGAGTTACAAACTGAAGAAGGTCCCAAACCCCACATTCTGACTCCCTTGGCAATACATCTCGTTCCAAATCATGATGGCCACTTTCGCATTTTCTCTAACAACAAAGCTGCCAAGGGATAAAGTATTAATATTTTCCAATCTGAGGTTGTTTGGATAGAGTATGTGTGTGTGTGTGTGTGTGAAGAAATTCCTCCCACCTACTTCCTATTCCCTGTGAAAAAAATAGTTTCAGATTTCTCAGAAATTATTTTCATATTAAAGATAAAGTTTAGTTTAAATAAAATCAATGACCAAAGTAAAGTCAAATAGGGTAAGTTTTAGTATTGCATTCATTGGTCTACCAGGCAGACTTTTCCAAGGAAGTATCTGATATATATATACATATGTATCTCCTTTTGTTAACTCATAATACATGTGCACATGCACACACCTACTCCTCCCACCCTTCCCCTCACAATGATATAAACACTGCCACTTGGTTGGCACTTGTGAAAGGTGAGAAGCCTTGTGAGGGACTTGGGTGTTCTATTGGAATGAGAGACTCAAGAAAGAGAGCTCATTTGAAAACAGTTCTATAGAGGATTTGGACAGACATCATTTCTTAGTCTCCATGAACTCTGAGTTTATCTCTTTGCTAAGGTGGCACCTGCAAAAGATGTTTCCTGAGCATCTGGAATCTCATTTCTTAACTGGCAGAGAAAAACAGGACCACAAAATTTTAAGCTTGAAAGAGAAAATAGAACTACTGTGGTCTAAACTTTTGCCCATTACAAATCTCTTTATCATCATTGGAAAATCACCACTGTTCAGTGACTGGCTGGACCATAGCAGGGATATTAAGCTAATTAGCTCTATCTTCCACTTCTCTTGAATTGTTTCAGAGAGGCAGAGGAATAGCTCCCATTCCAGCTTTTGTTATAAAACAAATCTAGTGATTAGAATATCCTTTCATACCTTCACCAGCTTTGCATACTTTCACCCACTGGCTCCAGCTCTGGAATGTGCAGTTCTCCTTCAAGTTAGAGCTATCCTAGATAAAACACAAAGACTTATCTCAAAGGTCACTGGAGTCTGGGACAATCGAACACAAAGTGAACAGTATCTCTAATGTAGTTTATTTTAAGGTGAAAGAAGGCAAGGGATTCAATGCATAAGAGGTAAAGAATTATCTAGTTTAAGTGTGTGTGAAGGGAGGATTCTTTTGCTTTTCTAAAATGATAAACTCCAATATTAATTTTTCAGTTTTTATTATGAATTAGCATATACTCTATACCAACTTTATATGTGCTTAACACGAACATAGGTTTTTAGATCTCAGATTTTGGAAGGCTTCAGTGTTCTTTTAGGTTGGAAATCCTTCATGCCAGAGGTTACATCACAGCTTATCCATCAAGCACAAGATTTACCAGAAGGTCAGTAAATCATCAAACATTTCTTAAATACCTAGTAGATGAATGGGGTATGTCAGAAATACAAAGATTTGTAAGGAAATGGTTTATGCTTTTGTGTCAATCACAAACTAATGAAAAAGGCAGGCAAATAAACCAATTAAAAAAAACCAATAATTACAGTATTCCATGATAAATGCTGTCATGCAGTCAGGGACACGGAGTGGAGTCCTAAAGACATTATTAACTCTGTTCATGGGGTTGTAAGAGCCTTTATAGAAGGCTCTTGTTCATTCTGAATGTTGAAAAATGACCAGAAGCTGGGCAAGTAATAAAGAACAGAAAGACCAAAGGAACAGTGAATGCAAAATTACATCGGCATAAATATGTATGGTGTATTTAAGGGTCAGGCATAATAATAATTTTAAAAGGTGTCACATTAAATGGTGAAGCTACCAAGAGAAATGAGGATTTTGACTCTATATGAGAAGTGGAAACAATTATCCATTGTCTTTAGGATTTAATGAATGAATTGCAGACTGATTGTTGCTCAGTTCCTCTCTTTCTTTTCTCCTTCCTCTTCACTTTCCAGGCACTCTCAAAGACTCCTAATATAATAAGCCCTTGTATTTGCACAACACTTTAGAGATTGCTAGGCAATCTTCATAAGCACCGTGCTACCTAATCCTTATCACAATTCAGTTAGGACCTTCAACCCAAGTTCCTTCCCAGCCTTCACCAACTGCATGCATGGGAAAAGCTTCTTCCCTTCACCTTGAAAATAACAACTCGCTCACTTCATCTTACAGAGAGAATGCAGCAATGCCTAGTGATTAGAAAGGCCAAGGAAGTAGAGAAATTTTCAAGGATAGAAGAAAAAAACTCAGACATCAAGATATTTATTTCAAGGTGAGAGGAAATACTTTGCTATGAAGGAAAAAAGGTTCTGTGGATTTCCAAATGCCTCCTGCTTGGGTCCGGCCAGCCCTTTGAGCTAATCAGGCTCTCCTCTAGCTGGGAGGAAGAGAAGCCTGAAGCCTCTAAGTAAGATTTTAATTCAATTAGTGTTTTACCAATTTGATGCAGCAACCAAAGACCTATGGTGTCTGATTAATATGCTGATGCTAAGACACAAGAGTGAACAGAATGCCCATTTGGATAAGGCCTGGCAGCAAAGCGTGGCATTGCTATGGAAACCACAGAAGGCCATTAATTAGCTATCAAATAAAATCATTGGAAAATTCTGGACCCTGGCACATCTGCCCCCTTCAGAGAGGAGGGCAAGAAGAGGTCACACTAGCAGCAAGGCTCCCTTCAGCGATTAAAATCATAGTTACACAGAGACTATATGTTGCAAAGTGGAAGGAAGGTAGGGGAGCGACATGAACGCAATAGGAATGAGGCTTTCGGATTATGCAAGTCCAAGAATGTAATTTGGATTGTGAAGTATCTTGTTGGGTTGTCTATATTGACAAAATGATCTCAATGACAAATGGCTTATCCTATTCCCTGTTCTGTAGAGAAAAAAAAAAAAAAAAAGATGATAATAATATGGATCCACTAGATGGTGATACATGACCAGGGAAAGAGACTACAGAGTCATAGAGTAAGGAGTGATTAACCCTTGAAATAATTAATACAGGTCATATGACTTTTAAGTTAATAGAGGAAAAAATTAAAAAATTGAAAAGGCAGAAAGAGACACAAAAAAAGAATCATTAAAATAGTTAGGCATGCCTGAACATAATAACAAAAACTTACTACACAGATAATCACAATAAATGTAATTGGATAAAACTGGCTGGTTAAAAAAAACTGGTTGTCAGATTACAAATTATAGATTAAAAAAGAAAGATAAAGACCAGATGAACAAACTCACAAATCAAGATGGATATAGGGAGTGGCATGGGATCTATCTTGAGTCAATCAAGGAGCAGGAAGTAACTTCAAGGGTTTATTATTATTATTAAATAACTTGTCTCCCAGTTAATTGGAGGTGGATTAGAGATCTTTTTAATTTTAGTTGATTTGGGGGATACTACAGGTCTCTTTGAGATATGTGAAAGCTGTGGGCTCTTTCCCAATAAAAATGCACCTTCACATACACTTTTGAATAATATTTCACAGATCCTTTAAAACCTTTCTTGAACATTCTGGAATGCTACAGATCTTGCTTGGGTAAGTAGCTCTGTTCTACTCTAAACCATGAGTTTAGTTCCCTTTTTACTACTTCCAGCATAGTTTGAACTAGAATCACCTATCAAGTTTATATAGCGCCATACTGCCCTCAGGGAAGGCAGTCTTTATATAAAGACAAATCAAATCCAGTGGGAATGGTAGTTATGGCCACCTTAATGAAATACCACATATACTAGATCCAAATTTATTAAGTAGATATTTTCTTTGCAAGTACGAACTAAAAGAAGGAAGTATCTAAACTGTGGATAATAAGGAGTTAGGTTAAAGGATGAAAAGGAATGCCTTGGTATGTATTGTAACATCCAGACAGAGAGTCTAGCTCACTGAACCTGGTACCATGATAGACATAGGGCCTAAAGGAGAGATTATTAAATCAGTAAAAATAAATGTCCATTAATTATCTTGGAATAAACAAATGGATTTCATGAATCACAAGTTGAGTTGCTCCCTCACTTGAGTGTTTGACCTCCACTCCCAAAACTCCTGGTGTGGTCAATGTCCCCAGAAGCTGTATTGGTTTCACCTAAGGGCTACTCTTTCCCTAAAGTAGTCAAGGAGTTGCTGTCACGGACAAGGTGTCACGTCTTGGTAACACCTCTAAATGGAGATATTAACCCCAAGGAGAAAGTGGCCTTGACAAAAATTTTAAACAAAAGCTTCAGAGATGATGATAAGGAGAAAGATGGAATAGCCAAGCTGAAACTCTAAATTTTAGTGTTGATGTCACCAAGGATGGCTGTGCTTTCCACTTGGCTAGTGATTCTTGCAAACCTTAACCAGGTCCCAAAGACTGGACTGACTTTGCCACAGGCCTGAATGAGTAAGGAAATGGTAATGCTCTTATAAATTAGGAGATAATTATAAACACCACCAAGGGTTTGTTAATTATATGGTGTTAATTGTATAACACATAATTATAAATTAATAATAATGTCACCAACTATTTTGTTAATGTATAAAAATATTCTGAGCTTAAAGACTAGACTCAAGTGCTAGATTTTTCTGAATTATCAAGCATCTACAGAACAAGAATTAGAACTCAAATTTTCCAAGTCATAAATTAGTGATTTAACCATTACACTCAACATTATTCCTGGCATGAGAAAATAACAGCAGCATGGCTCTGTGGCTAAGAGCATAGGCTGAGAGACAGGAAACCAGGCTTAGATCTTAGCTATTTACTAGCTGTGTGATTTCAATGAGACATTTAACCTCTCTGTGCCTCAATTTCTTTTTCTGTAGGAAAGAGATTCTTCATATGTCCTCCCTAATGAGGTTGTATGAGAAATAAGCACTTTTAAAGAGCCTAGAACAATGCCTGGCTTGTAGATAGCCTATCTGTTAGTTTTTAAAAAATGACATCAACAAAAATATAATTTAGATACACAGATATGAAAATTAATATTAACAGCTAAATTCACCTGAGCTCATAACACTATAGTGAGCCAAGCACTATATAGTAAGAATTTTATGTAAGTTATAGTGTGTCTAAGCCCATTCAGGCTGCTATAACAAAAATACTCAGACTAGGTAATTTATAAACAAAAGAGATTTATTTCTCACAGTTATGGAGGCTAGAAAGTCCAAGATTAAGGCATCAGCAGATTTGATGTTTGGTGAGGGCCTTTTCCTCATACATGACACCTTTTTCCTATGTCTTCGCATGATGGAAGGGGCAATGGAGCTCTCTCCAGCCTCTTTGATAAGGGCATTATTCCTATTAAGGAGGGTGGAGGCTCATGACTTAATCAGTTCCTGAAGGCCCCATCTCTTAATATTATCACAGTAGGTATCAGATTCCAACACATAAATATCTGGGGATCCACCAACATTCAGACCATAGTAACTTATTTAATATCATGGCAACCCAATGAGGTAGTTTTAATTACCACTTCAATTTACACATGAAGAAACTGAGTCTCACAAAGGTGAAGTAACTTTGCTGTGGGCACAATGCTGGTAATGGAGTAATGATTTGCCAGTCTCCAAATCTAGGTCTTTTAACTATTCCACATGCTGTTTCCTTAATAAGTACAAACAACACCTCTAACAAATTTACCTATAAGAAGAGCCCAGACCATAAAAGGCATATGGCACTACTCCTTTAATACAGACTCATTAACTCCCTCCATAAACCAGAATTAAGGTTATCCAGATAGTGTTAAATGTACTGACACCTGAAATCACAGAGCTTCACCAGGGACCCAGAAGGAATGAGCTGTCTGGGGCAGATTTCCCACCTGTGAGAGCATGATCTGGCTTGGAGCCCAGATGCATATCTTATTCCTTCTCAAACACCTCAGGGAAGCCGGTGGATCTAGGTAGGGCTCCCTCCTTTTTGGCAAAGCACTATTGACTTGTACATTGCCCTTTTCTAGGAAAGAATAGTCTTAGGGAGTGAAGTGGGCAGGCAGAGATCAGTGGCAAGGGTAATTGAGGTCAAGAGATGAAAACAGTAGTCTGTTCTCTAAAGCTAAGGTACAAAAAGGAGACCCTTGATCTCCATCTAAGCCAATGCCCACATTTCAACATAGTTGGTGGAGCTGGAACCAGTTTTGGTCCAAGCCTCCTGAAAACCTATTCCAAGTCCATCCAATGTAGACCAAGATGCCTAGAGGTGATTTTTAGTTTGGATTGGTGAAGAGGGAGTGTGACATCCATAAACAGCAGGTGAGGTTCTGGGAGGACGTCTTCCTTGTCCCTGTTCAGCTTCCTTCTGTCATCCTACTTTTTCATATTATTTGCAGCTCCTTGATCCCAGAAATCCCAGAATTGTCATTTTTGGCCATACCATGCAAACCAGATTTCCTTCCCTTACACTGGCACTGAAACTTTATGGATAGAAAGGCAGAATGAAGATATTATACCATGAGGAGGAAGTTTTAATGTCTACAAAAGCATTACTTATACATGAATTTTATAAGCATTAGTTTTCCAAGTGATGTCTCTGCAAAGGGGAAATAAAATGCTACCTGCTACTCTGATAGGACCGGTCAAGTCTTAAGACACGGGATTCAGCACACATTGACAGAAGAGGAAAAGAAGGCATGTAATTTTTATTGAGCTTCTGTGATGTCCCAGGTATTTAACATACATCTTATTTAATTCTCACAAATCTCTAAAAGAGTGTTGTTATTATTTCCATCACACTGGTGAGGAAACCAGGACACCAAAAATATGTCACATAACTTCAGTTCAGTTTTGCAACTTAGCACGTAAGCATTCATCAATGAGGATAAGATGGAATGGTTAGCAGCATGGGCCCTTAGGCCCTGAGGGGTCCAGTGCTTGGTTCTAGACTTTATAGACTGTGTGACCTTGGAAAGTCACCAAACCTCTGTGACAGTTTCTTCATCTGTCATGTGCGAAGAATAATAACTCTCACTCCATCTGGTTGCCCGTGAGAACTTTTCCTTTACCAGATTTTCACCTCTTACATGAGTTCGTGCAGTGAAGGCCCTGCCCAGAACTCCTTGCTACCTAGTAAGCATTCATTTGAGGTTAGCTTTCAGCATTCCTTTGAGTCAGGCATGGCTCAAGACGGGAGCTTGAAATCATTGTCCCATCATGCTCCTCGGCCTCCCCAGTTGCATGTGTCCCCTCTGAAACCCTCTCCAGTGCAGGGACTCAGTGGAAGAGTTAGAGACAAATATCTGCCTTTCAGAAGTTCACAAGTGACAAAATGGCAACAAATATATTTACAACCTGAAGTAGGGGAAGGGTAACATCAGACGAGACATAGTTGTTAAACAGTGAAAATGGAAACTGAAAACAAGACAATGAAAGACTGAATTTGTAAGAGGAGGAGCTCCCAGGGACTGTTCCCAGTGTCCTTTCCCCTGACAAAGCTTGGAACATCCTCACCCCATTTCCAGGCAAGCAGGGACGTTGCTTAGCAACCGGCCAGGGACAGCAGAGTGAGCTCCCTGCTCCTAGCATTAAGGGATGCTACTGCAGTGCTGAAAAGGACCAAACTTTCACTTAAAACCCCGCCTCCAGCACCTGCAAATTGGAAGCACCTGGGAGGAGAGTTCTCTGAGGGTTAAGGCTGAAGACAGAGGTGGGCAGACCAAAGGGAAAATACTCAATTTAAATTAGTGGAAAAAATATAGAGAGAATATTATTTTTATTTCCTTCAAATACTGCAAAAACTTGATGTGCTCAAAGAGATTTGCCACGCCAAGGCGTTGGTGAGTGTGCTTCATTGAATTTTGAAGTGGCAATTGAGGCCAGCAGGACGTGCTCGGTTTCCCAGTGCATGTAGGCCACCTCTCCCAACAGCTGCAACCGCTTGATTACCACCCACAAGTTCAATCTCAAAGTAAGATCTGGACAAGATA